CCCCCCGGTGCGAACTCCCCGCGCCGCCCCGTACCCCGCGCGCTGATGAAATGGAAAGTTGACCATAAATCAATGTCGGCGGCTGCGTTAGCTATGCATCAGCGGCTCGGCGCCGAGATGCACCAAAACAAAGCATCAGGCTGCTCCGTGTTCCCACACTGCCCCCTAATGCAGAGAGACCTCGGGAACCCGGGGAGGACGTGGCTGGGGGGGGGGGAGGGCCCCCCCCCCCCCCCCCCAGCTCGCTCCGGCCAGCGGCGGGGACGGGGCAGGGGTTCAGTAGTACGAGCCAGCCCGTGGGGCCACCAGCCCCCGGGGGACAGTCCTGGAGGGCGGCCCCCAACCCGGGGTGACGGTTCATAGGTAAAAAGCTAAAAACTTGGGGCGGAAGTGGAGGTGGAGGAGGGGGGGGGGCGCTGGCAGGGAGGGCAGGAGGCACCGAGCCCCCCCACTCTTTCCCCCTTCCCCCATACACACTCCCCGGCCACCGTGTCCCCGCCGGTGTCCCCCGCGGCCGGCGGGTGCCCTTAGGACTCGGAGGAGGAGCGGGAGACGCTCTGGAGCAGCGATTTGTAAATGGCAGAGTTCAGGAAGCGAGGGTAGGAGTCTCTGTGCATCAGCGTGTAGATCTGGAGCTGCGCGTCGTCGAAGGTGTGCGAGGACGGCTCCTGCATCTTCCGGTTGATGACCTCCCGCACCCGCGAGTCCAGGCTCACCTTGAGGGGGGAAACAGGGAGAGAAATTGGGGGGAGGGGGTTAGGATGGGTTGAGGGACCCCTCAGTGACAACTCCCAAACCCCAGCACCCACTCCTGTGCAAGCTCTCGTGGGAAACTGGGTATCAATGGGGCACCGTGGGGTGCTCTGTGTGCCCCCCGCCCCTGGAGTATCTTTGCCAGCGTGTTTTGGGGAGTTGCAGGGAGAAACACGGTGTCTGGGTCCTCCCCGTGTCCCCTTGCTGGGCACAGGGAGGTGGGCTGGGGTGCTCCCCGCCTGGGGATGCTGTGAGCCAGGATGCAGTGTGTCATCTCTCTTTTTCCAGTGGTGCCCAGTGACAGGACCTGGGAAATTGGGTATCAACAGGGCACCCTGGGGTGCTCTGTGTGCCCCCTGCCCCTGGAGCATCTCTGCCAGCGTGTTTTGGGGAGTTGCAGGGAGAAACACGGTGTCTGGGTCCTCCCCGTGTCCCCTTGCTGGGCACAGGGAGGTGGGCTGGGGTGCTCCCCGCCTGGGGATGCTGTGAGCCAGGATGCAGTGTGTCATCTCTCTTTTTCCAGTGGTGCCCAGTGACAGGACAAGAGGAAACGGGCACAAACTTGAACTTAGAAAGTTCCATCTTAACAGGAGGAGGAACTTCTTCACTTTGAGGGTGGCAGAGCCCTGGAAGAGGCTGCCCAGAGAGGTGGTGGAGTTTCTGGAGACATTCCAAACCCGCCTGGAGGCCAACCTGGGCGACCTGCTCTGGGTGACCCTGCTCTGGAAGGGGTTGGACTGGACGATCTCCAGAGGTCCCTTCCAACCCCTATCGTTCTCCGATTCTGTGATCTCCTCAGCCCGCTGGTGCCCTCCTGAGGTTTCGGCCCCGAAGCACAACCCGGCCCCTTGTCCCGCAGCCAGCTGCATCCCAGGGATGCTGTGGGGCTGGAGATCCCCACCCCACTCCCATCTACAAACCCTTTATGCTGCCAAACCCATCCCCAAATTCCCACAGGGCTGCAGGACCAGTCAGGACAGAGCCCTTTCCCTAAGAAACCACCCCCATTTTGGGCTCAGCCCCAGAGAGGCGCAGGAAGGACTCTGCCCCGTACCTCCTTGGGCGAGAGGATGGAGATGTAGTCCTCGTAGATCATCCTGGCCTTCTCGTCGATGGTGTGCTTGTTGCACTCGTTTTTGAGCTCCTCGCACGCCAGCCAGAAGAGCATGTTCTCCTCGCTGTACTCAGTCCGCAAGAACTCCCGGAAGACGTTGCGACCCGCCGGGCTCTTCATCAGCTTGTCGAAGGACTGTGCCCAGCCCCGCACCTCCTCCGGGCTGGGTTTGGCGCTGCCGGGTCCCCGTGGGGAAGGCAAAGGGACAGCGTTACCTTGGGGAAGGTCCCCGCCGTGTCCCTCCCCACGCGGCTCATCCCTCACCCCATCCCACGGAGGGACCGTGCCCCAACGCCTCCTCCCAAGCCCACGCCGAGGCCGTTCCTCCTCGGGCTCTGGTTATCACAGAGGTTTTTGGAGGTCACTCACGGGGTCTGTCCTGGCCTGGTTGGAGCCTGGGCTTGGTTTTCAGCTGAATTTCTCCATCTGAGATGTTATTTTGGTGCTGGCTTTGCACAGACCCAAAAGGCAGCACGAGCCTTTCCCCAGGGAAGCTCTGAGCCATCCAGGGGGAGCCCGACATCAGCCCATCATCCCTCCCAGCTGCGGGAGGGAGCCTGCTCCCCAGCAAACACTCATTACCTGCTAAAGCAGGGCAGGAGCAATCATTATCCCTGGCTAATTAGCACATCTGACCCTTAACCCTGCTGTGCCAGGGCTGGGCCATCTGTGGGGGTCTCCACGGAGTGGGTGGTGGGTGTGGAGCATTCCTGGCTGTAAGGTGCTGTCACAGAGGGTCTTAAGGGCAGGATGAGGCTCTGCCCTTGGATGAAAGCTGCTGAGGGTCTCCTGTGCCTCAGTTTCCCTTTGCAAGGGGCACAAAGGCTGCAGCTCTTGGCTCTGGGCTCCCCGTCTCCTGGTGGGAACTGGGGACACACTGCTGGAAGGAGCACCAGGACGCCCTGAGCCCTGGTGTCCCAATCCTGCTCCCCATTTCTTGATGGGAACTGGGGACGTGCCACTGGAAGGAGCACCAGGAACCCCCCAAGTCCTGGTTCCCCAATCCTGCTCCCCGTTTCTTGGTGGGAACTGGGGACACAATACTGGAAGGAGCACCAGGAACCCCCCAAATCCTGGTGCCCTGATCCTGTTCCCCGTTTCTTGGTGGGAACTGGGGACGTGCCACTGGAAGCAGCACCAGGAACCCCCGATCCTGCTCCCCGTGTGTGCTCCAGTAGGCAGGATGCAGGGCTGGGTGCCACGGAGGGTGGCAGCTGGGACCATGCCGTGCCATGCCGTAGGGTAGGAGTCTCTGTGCATCAGCGTGTAGATCTGGAGCTGCGCGTCGTCGAAGGTGTGCGAGGACGGCTCCTGCATCTTCCGGTTGATGACCTCCCGCACCCGCGAGTCCAGGCTCACCTTGAGGGGGGAAACAGGGAGAGAAATTGGGGGGAGGGGGTTAGGATGGGTTGAGGGACCCCTCAGTGACAACTCCCAAACCCCAGCACCCACTCCTGTGCAAGCTCTCCTGGGAAATTGGGTATCAACAGGGCACCCTGGGGTGCTCTGTGTGCCCCCTGCCCCTGGAGCATCTCTGCCAGCGTGTTTTGGGGAGTTGCAGGGAGAAACACGGTGTCTGGGTCCTCCCCGTGTCCCCTTGCTGGGCACAGGGAGGTGGGCTGGGGTGCTCCCCGCCTGGGGATGCTGTGAGCCAGGATGCAGTGTGTCATCTCTCTTTTTCCAGTGGTGCCCAGTGACAGGACAAGAGGAAACGGGCACAAACTTGAACTTAGAAAGTTCCATCTTAACAGGAGGAGGAACTTCTTCACTTTGAGGGTGGCAGAGCCCTGGAAGAGGCTGCCCAGAGAGGTGGTGGAGTTTCTGGAGACATTCCAAACCCGCCTGGAGGCCAACCTGGGCGACCTGCTCTGGGTGACCCTGCTCTGGAAGGGGTTGGACTGGACGATCTCCAGAGGTCCCTTCCAACCCCTATCGTTCTCCGATTCCGTGATCTCCTCAGCCCGCTGGTGCCCTCCTGAGGTTTCGGCCCCGAAGCACAACCCGGCCCCTTGTCCCGCAGCCGGCTGCATCCCAGGGATGCTGTGGGGCTGGAGATCCCCACCCCACTCCCATCTACAAACCCTTTATGCTGCCAAACCCATCCCCAAATTCCCACAGGGCTGCAGGACCAGTCAGGACAGAGCCCTTTCCCTAAGAAACCACCCCCATTTTGGGCTCAGCCACCCCCCGGAGAGGCGCAGGAGGGGGCTCTGCCCCGTACCTCCTTGGGCGAGAGGATGGAGATGTAGTCCTCGTAGATCATCCTGGCCTTCTCGTCGATGGTGTGCTTGTTGCACTCGTTTTTGAGCTCCTCGCACGCCAGCCAGAAGAGCATGTTCTCCTCGCTGTACTCAGTCCGCAAGAACTCCCGGAAGACGTTGCGACCCGCCGGGCTCTTCATCAGCTTGTCGAAGGACTGTGCCCAGCCCCGCACCTCCTCCGGGCTGGGTTTGGCGCTGCCGGGTCCCCGTGGGGAAGGCAAAGGGACAGCGTTACCTTGGGGAAGGTCCCCGCCGTGTCCCTCCCCACGCGGCTCATCCCTCACCCCATCCCACGGAGGGACCGTGCCCCAACGCCTCCTCCCAAGCCCACGCCGAGGCCGTTCCTCCTCGGGCTCTGGTTATCACAGAGGTTTTTGGAGGTCACTCACGGGGTCTGTCCTGGCCTGGTTGGAGCCTGGGCTTGGTTTTCAGCTGAATTTCTCCATCTGAGATGTTATTTTGGTGCTGGCTTTGCACAGACCCAAAAGGCAGCACGAGCCTTTCCCCAGGGAAGCTCTGAGCCATCCAGGGGGAGCCCGACATCAGCCCATCATCCCTCCCAGCTGCGGGAGGGAGCCTGCTCCCCAGCAAACACTCATTACCTGCTAAAGCAGGGCAGGAGCAATCATTATCCCTGGCTAATTAGCACATCTGACCCCTAACCCTGCTGTGCCAGGGCTGAGCTATCTGTGGGGGTCTCCACAGAGTGGGTGCTGGGTGTGGAGCATTCCTGTCCGTGAGGTGCTGTCACAGAGGGTCTAAAGAGCAGGATGAGGCTCTGCCCTTGGATGAAAGCTGCTGAGGGTCTCCTGTGCCTCAGTTTCCCTTTGCAAGGGGCACAAAGGCTGCAGCTCTTGGCTCTGGGCTCCCCGTCTCCTGGTGGGAACTGGGGACACACTGCTGGAAGGAGCACCAGGACGCCCTGAGCCCTGGTGTCCCAATCCTGCTGCCCATTTCTTGATGGGAACTGGGGACACAATACTGGAAGGAGCACCAGGACCCCCCCAAGTCCTGGTTCCCCAATCCTGCTCCCCATTTCTTGGTGTGAACTGGGGACACGCTACTGGAAGGAGCACCAGGAACCCCCCAAGTCCTGGTTCCCCAATCCTGCTCCCCATTTCTTGGTGTGAACTGGGGACACGCTACTGGAAGGAGCACCAGGAACCCCTGATCCTGCTCCCCGTGTGTGCTCCAGCAGGCAGGATGCAGGGCTAGGTGCCACAGAGGGTGGCAGCAGGGACCGTGCCATGCCGTGCCAGTCCCCCCTCCTCCTGCCCCCGCACTCACCACGATCCTGGTGCCCTGATCCTGTTCCCCGTTTCTTGGTGGGAACTGGGGACGTGCCACTGGAAGCAGCACCAGGAACCCCCGATCCTGCTCCCCGTGTGTGCTCCAGTAGGCAGGATGCAGGGCTGGGTGCCACGGAGGGTGGCAGCTGGGACCATGCCGTGCCATGCCGTGCCAGCCCCCCCCTCCTCCTGCCCCCGCACTCACCACGCTTCACAGTTTGGGATGGTCTCCAGTTTGGTCTCCCGGGACGCCCTCCACGCTCGCTCCCGGTCCTCGTTCCTAACGAGGAGAGGGAAAGGTAGTCAGGGGCGTTGGGGACGCAGCCAGACCCCCCCGCAGGACCCAGGGCTGTGGCCGTCGGGGCTCAGCACCACCATCTCCTTGTCCCCTGTGCCTGGTTATCACCATCACCATCTCCAGCCAGTGACAGCCCTGGCTCACCCTTCCGGTGGCCACCATCGATGGAGGGACACAAAGGAGCCGGACCCCGCACCCCCAGGACACCCCAGCACCGCTCCAGCCCTGAGGCTGAGTGCGGGATGGTGGCACCGGGGCTCGGGGGTCCCCTGTCCCCCTGTCCCTGGGGGTGCTGGTGGCACGAGGGGGGACCATCCTCCAGCCAACTTCCCTCGAGCCCTTGAATTTCGGCGCCTGGCTCCGACCGCAGCGTTTCCTGCTTGCGACACCGTCCCTCGCCGCTCAAACAAGATTAAATGTGCAAACTTCTCCCCCCCCTGCCCCGGGTGGCGTGGGGGGGCCAAGCTGCGGGCATGTCCCTGCCCACACCGGCTCCTGGAGCCCAGTAAGGAGGGTTTTCTGTCCCTTCTCTGCTCACGGGCTCTTGCAGAGAGGGAGGAGGGACCCAGGGAAGGGTCACCCTGCCCCACAGCTGAATGTCACCAAACTCAGTGTCTGGGAGGAAGATGCTCGGGGCAGGGTGTGGAGGGGGGGAGCCCATCGCCCCCCTTGCTGCCTTGGGAATGTGAGGAAAGGAGGGGGGATCAGGTGAGATGGGTGCCCAAGGGCACAGCTGGGCTATGCCTCAGCACCAGGGATGCACCCTGGGTCTGCAGGAGGGTGACACGGGCACCAGGGCTCAGCCCCAGGGTTTGCTGCTCCTCCCAAGCTCAGCATCATCGCTGGCTGTGAAGCCCAAAGCTGCTGCAAAGCCCGAAGCCATCAGCAAGCTCAGAGCTGGCTGAGAATGGAGAAGAACAAACAGACCCTCCAAAATCTGGGCTCTCCAGAGAATGAGGAGCCAGGGATCCTTGGGGAGGGTGGGAGATGCAACCACAGGCAAGTGGCTGGTTACGTCCTTGGTTTGGGCAGAGCTGGGGGACCAGAGCCCGACTCTGCACCCGCTGCTCCAGGGCAGAGCTGGCCCAAAGGGCTCCCACAGACAAGGGCCATCCCCCGTGACGCTGGGCAGGGAATCCCAGCTTTTCTCCTGCCCTGCCCTGCCTGAAACAGGCAGCAAAACCCTCCTGCCTGCCCGGCGCTGTGCCCAGGGGTCCTGCTGCCCGGCCTGGGGGCAGCCGGGTGCCCGGGGAGGGTGGGTTGGGGAGGCAGAGACGGGGCAGCTCGGCTGAGAACCCCACTGTGCCACCGGTGCCACCTCCAGCTTCAAGTCCAGCCCCAGGAGAGCCAGAGGGAGGTTTCTGGTGCCACTTTCTGCTCCGAACCACTGATTTTACCCTTTCCAACTGCAGCACCCATTTTGCTCTCGACTCCCACCCCAAGCACACCAGCAGCCGGGATGCTCAGTGAGCGAGGACGGCCCCATCCCAGCCACCCCCCCATGGACACCGTGAGCTGCACCGAGGGGCTGGGGAGCACCCAGGGATGGGTTTCCCTTGAACCCCAGCGCCTGCTTGGGCAGGAGCCCCAACACTTGGTGCTGCACCAAGCACGGAGGACCAGCAACGTGTGGCCAACCCTTTCATCTGCCCTCCTTAGGGGACCCTTGACTACTGGATGACACGGTGGGTGGGTGACCCTCGATGGCCCCGTGGGAGCCCGGGGCTGGGGCAGGCGGTGGGACGTACCATGAGCAACTGCAGCAGCAGCACCAGCAGAAGCAGCAGGCGTTGGGGCGGTGGTTGCTGGCGGGTTGCACCGTTGTCGGAGAAGTCTCATGCCGGGACATCGGAAGGGGTGTCTCTGCGGACGCGGGTCCTGCGTACTGAAAAGGCAGGAGGGCAGGGAGCAGGTCAGTGAGCTGCTGATGGTCACAGAATCATAGAATGGTTCGCGTTGGAAGGGACCTTAAGGATCATCTCGTTCCAAAGCCCCTGCCCTGGGCAGGGACACCTCCCACCAGACCAGGTTGCTCAAAGCCCCCACCAACCTGGCCTTGAACCCCTCCAGGGATGGGGCAGCCACAGCTTCTCTGGGCAACCTGGGCCAGGGTCTCACCACCCTCACAGCAAACAAGTTCTTCCGCCCATCTCATCTCAATCTCCCCTCTTCCAGTTTAAAACTGTTCCCCCTTGTCCTATGGCTCCCATCCCCACTCAAGAGTCCCTCCCCAGCTTTCCTGGAGTCCCTTTAGGGACTGGAAGGGGCTCTAATGTCTCCCCGGAGCCTTCTCTTCTCCAGGCTGAACCCCCCCAACTCTCTCAGCCTCCCCTCCCAGCAGAGGGGCTCCAGCCCCCCCAGCATCTCCGTGGCCTCCTCTGGCCCCACTCCAACAGCTCCGTGTCCTTCCTGTGCTGAAGCCCCAGAGCTGGACACAGGACTCCAGGTGGGGTCTCCCCAAAGAGGAGCAGAGAGGAGAAATCCCCTCCCTCTCCCTGCTGCCCACGCTGCTGGGGAGGCAGCCCAGGATGAGGCCCCCCGGGGTGGTGTGGGCGGCCGTGGGGGGGCCAAGCTGTGGGCACGTCCCTGCCCACACCGGCTCCTGGAGCCCGGTAAGGAGGGTTTTCTGTCCCTTCTCTGCTCACAGGCTCTTGCAGAGAGGGAGGAGGGACCCAGGGAAGGGTCACCCTGCCCCACAGCTGAATGTCACCAAACTCAGTGTCTGGGAGGAAGATGCTCGGGGCAGGGTGTGGAGGGGGGGAGCCCATCGCCCCCCTTGCTGCCTTGGGAATGTGAGGAAAGGAGGGGGGATCAGGTGAGATGGGTGCCCAAGGACACAGCTGGGCTATGCCTCAGCACCAGGGATGCACCCTGGGTCTGCAGGAGGGTGACACGGGCACCAGGGCTCAGCCCCAGGGTTTGCTGCTCCTCCCAAGCTCAGCATCATCGCTGGCTGTGAAGCCCAAAGCTGCTGCAAAGCCCGAAGCCATCAGCAAGCTCAGAGCTGGCTGAGAATGGAGAACAACAAACAGACCCTCCAAAATCTGGGCTCTCCAGAGAATGAGGAGCCAGGGATCCTCGGGGAGGGTGGGAGATGCAACCACAGGCAAGTGGCTGGTTACGTCCTTGGTTTGGGCAGAGCTGGGGGACCAGAGCCCGACTCTGCACCCGCTGCTCCAGGGCAGAGCTGGCCCAAAGGGCTCCCACAGACAAGGGCCATCCCCCGTGACGCTGGGCAGGGAATCCCAGCTTTTCTCCTGCCCTGCCCTGCCTGAAACAGGCAGCAAAACCCTCCTGCCTGCCCGGCGCTGTGCCCAGGGGTCCTGCTGCCCGGCCTGGGGGCAGCCGGGTGCCCGGGGAGGGTGGGTTGGGGAGGCAGAGACGGGGCAGCTCGGCTGAGAACCCCACTGTGCCACCGGTGCCACCTCCAGCTTCAAGTCCAGCCCCAGGAGAGCCAGAGGGAGGTTTCTGGTGCCACTTTCTGCTCCGAACCACTGATTTTACCCTTTCCAACTGCAGCACCCATTTTGCTCTCGACTCCCACCCCAAGCACACCAGCAGCCGGGATGCTCAGTGAGCGAGGACGGCCCCATCCCAGCCACCCCCCCATGGACACCATGAGCTGCACCGAGGGGCTGGGGAGCACCCAGGGATGGGTTTCCCTTGAACCCCAGCGCCTGCTTGGGCAGGAGCCCCAACACTTGGTGCTGCACCAAGCACGGAGGACCAGCAACGTGTGGCCAACCCTTTCATCTGCCCTCCTTAGGGGACCCTTGACTACTGGATGACACGGTGGGTGGGTGACCCTCGGTGGCCCCACGGGAGCCCGGGGCTGGGGCAGGCGGTGGGACGTACCATGAGCAACTGCAGCAGCAGCACCAGCAGAAGCAGCAGGCGTTGGGGCGGTGGTTGCTGGCGGGTTGCACCGTTGTCGGAGAAGTCTCATGCCGGGACATCGGAAGGGGTGTCTCTGCGGACGCGGGTCCTGCGTACTGAAAAGGCAGGAGGGCAGGGAGCAGGTCAGTGAGCTGCTGATGGTCACAGAATCATAGAATGGTTCGCGTTGGAAGGGACCTTAAGGATCATCTCGTTCCAAAGCCCCTGCCCTGGGCAGGGACACCTCCCACCAGACCAGGTTGCTCAAAGCCCCCACCAACCTGGCCTTGAACCCCTCCAGGGATGGGGCAGCCACAGCTTCTCTGGGCAACCTGGGCCAGGCTCTCACCACCCTCACAGCAAACAAGTTCTTCCGCACATCTCATCTCAATCTCCCCTCTTCCAGTTTAAAACTGTTCCCCCTTGTCCTATGGCTCCCATCCCCACTCAAGAGTCCCTCCCCAGCTTTCCTGGAGTCCCTTTAGGGACTGGAAGGGGCTCTAATGTCTCCCCGGAGCCTTCTCTTCTCCAGGCTGAACCCCCCCAACTCTCTCAGCCTCCCCTCCCAGCAGAGGGGCTCCAGCCCCCCCAGCATCTCCGTGGCCTCCTCTGGCCCCACTCCAACAGCTCCGTGTCCTTCCTGTGCTGAAGCCCCAGAGCTGGACACAGGACTCCAGGTGGGGTCTCCCCAAAGAGGAGCAGAGAGGAGAAATCCCCTCCCTCTCCCTGCTGCCCACGCTGCTGGGGAGGCAGCCCAGGATGAGGGGGGGGCTTTCTGGGCTACCAATGCATTATCCCCTTCATGTGTAAGAACCCAGAGTTAAACGAGGGACAACCCCCCCGCCCCCTCCTCAATCCCCGCGCAGTGACTTGCTGTGATTTCTTCTCGGCTCCCACCTGATGGTCAGCATCTCACCTGCCTCCCAGCCTCATACACGGTGGACGGGGTTGGGTCGTGCTTCGGGGGCTCTTCTGCTGCTCCCTGCTCCCCCCAGCCCGCGGGCGAGCCGTGCCGCCGAGACCCCCCGGCTAATGTCCCTGCCGCCTCCTGGATGGAGCCTGCGGGGAGGGAGGAGAAGCGGCACCACGTTACCTTTGCAGAGGGACCCCCCGGTTTCGGGTGGCTGGGGGGGGGCTGCTCCATGCTGGAGAAAGCCCTTTGCAGGCGGGGAGCTGGGGCATGGCAGGCGGACAGAGAGCGTGTGAGAAAAGGAAGTGAGAAGGAAAGGAGGAGGGGAGACGTGGCAACAGATGCTCTGCCAGCCCCACGCTTCACCAGGGACCCCCTCCCACGCTTTTTTCGGGGCTGCTGAGCAGGATGCTGGGCTCAGCACTGGCTTTGACACCCCCCCTCCCTCTCCCCAGCCATACCCCATGCCGTGGGGAAGCACGGATGGACCCCCTGTGGCATGTTTGGGTCTGGGATGGGGAAGTCAGGGCCGCTCCACGGCATCATGTGAGTGGAAGGAAACAGGGAGGGGGGAGTTTTCACAGCTCCAGGCACTAAACCAAAACTTGCCCCATGGCAAACACTTTGGCCGGGTCCAGCTCTCTGCACTGCTGCTGCAGAACGGTCCCCCCTCAGCCCTGCCCGTCCCTGCACCACCAGCAGGGATGCTCCTGGGCAGGTAGGGTGCTGTCAGGGCCGCTCCACGGCATCATGTGAGTGGAAGGAAACAGGGAGGGGGGAGTTTTCACAGCTCCAGGCACTAAACCAAAACTTGCCCCATGGCAAACACTTTGGCCGGGTCCAGCTCTCTGCACTGCTGCTGCAGAACGGTCCCCCCTCAGCCTTGCCCATTCCTGCACCACTGGCAGGGATGCTCCTGGGCAGGTAGGGTGCTGGGGATGGGGGCTCAGCACCCACCTTGGCGTGGGGTGCTGGTAAGGACGTGGTGGTCACGGCCAGCTCTGCCTCGTGTGCCCTGCCAAGGGCGATGGGCAGCAACCCCTGCCAGAAGGGAGGAATAGGAGCAGGGGGCAGCGGGCAGGGAGACCCCCTGGCCACCTCAGCCCCAGCACCCATGTTTTGAGCTGCCCCAGGTCTCATCACAGAATCTTCTAGGTTGGAAGGGACCTTAAAGATCATCTTGTCCAACCGTTAACCCAACTTTGACAAAAATAGACACCCACACAACAAACAAAAAGCATCACCATCACTAAATCATATCTCCCAGCACCACATCAACCTGTCTTTTGAACACCTCCAGGGATGGGGCCTCAACCACCTCCCTGGGCAGCCCATTCCGATGTCCGATAAGGGGGCAGAGCCAGGGTGTGGGTCCTGGTTGGGGACAGGGCTGTCCCCAGCCTGGCCATGGCCTGGCAGCACCTCCCACCAGCTCCTCTCCTGCGCCCTCACAAACCCTCCCGCTGGCTCCCATCGCTCCCGCAGGAACGAAAAAGGAGAGAGTCTGCGTTTCGCTCCCAATTGTCCCTATTTATAGCCCCGAGTGCTGGCAGGGTGGCTGTGACCTTGTCACCCGGCCCAGCAGCAGGCCCCGCTCCCTCTGGCACCGCGCTGCCCTCAGCTCCCTTTAACCCCCGGCTTTTTTCCCGTTCCTTTGCTCCCCCCAAACCCACCATCTTCCCCTCCCGGTGGCCACTCTTCCCCCTGTCCCCCCCCACGGTGCCACATCCATCCTGCTGTACCTGGCGCTGCTGGGGGGCTGCAGCCCCATGGTTCTGGGGAGGGGGGAGCCAGGCTCTGGGCACAGCTCCCAGCGGGGCTGAGGCACTAATTACAGCGAGCGTTGATGAGGTTGTGGGAATGGGGCGAGCAGGAGGAAAACCCCAAAGGCTGGGAAAACCCTGCTTCAGAGAATCATGGACTGCTCTGGGTTGGAAAGGACCTTAAAGACCATTAAGTTCCAATCTTCCTGCCACGGGCAGGACCAGGTTGCTCAAGGATGGCTCTTCTGCAGTCCTGGGGTGCAGAGCAGGGGGATGAGGGGTGGCCAAGGGACAGGGATGTGGGCACAGAGCATGGCAGGGCTCCAGGAGGACTCCCAGGTGCTTCATTTCTGCAGCTGGTGCTCGACCTTGGGCAGACCAGACCCTCGAGTGGCTCAGCCAAAACACCCCACAGAGGCAGTGGGACGGGGCAGCATCCCCCGGCGAGGAGCATCCCATCCCCACACCCGTGGGGCGCACACTCAGCACCCCCAAGGAGGCAGGATGAGCTCTGCCCATCCCTGTGTCACCCACCCCGGGGACACCTCGGCTGCGTGGGCTGTGCCAGGGGGGACAGGGAGGAGACGAGAGGTGTGGGGCTGCACAAGGTCCCCCTGCCCCATGGCAATGTGGGGGGGGTGCTCAGGATTTGCAGGGCTGGTTTCCCCACCCCGTGCACCCCTTTCCAGCTGCCCCAGGGCTGTGGGTGTCGGTGGATAACGAACCCCCCGGTGATGGCAGAGCTGGAGGGAAGGCCGGGGTGTGCGCGTGGGGGGGGTGCTCAGGATTTGCAGGGCTGGTTTCCCCACCCCGTGCACCCCTTTCCAGCTGCCCCGGGGCCGTGGGTGCTGGTAAATAACGAACCCCCCGGTGATGGCAGAGCTGGAGGGAAGGCCGGGGTGTGCGCGCGAGGCTGTGAAAAGAGGAAGGATGACAAAAAGGGGACATTTCCCCAGCAGAGAGAAGAGACGCCCCAAAAGCTGCCCTCACCCCAACCCCCTCAGGTCC